CAACGAATTTCCCGTGGGCGGATCTCACGATTTCGGCCCGTTCGGCCTACCTCCCCGCGTCGGCCTCCCGACCGCGGTACCACCGCCCTGTCCCCGCCTCGTGTCGGTACCGCCCCGCTCCAGAATTTCGCTGGGCCCGCGACGGGGCATGTCGCCGAGCCCTCTCCATCCTTTAGTATGTATAGAGAAGAGAAATCCGGAGGAGGGTATGTATCTAGTTTACATCTCTGCTGCGGGCGAACCGGTAAAAATGCCGCCAGAGATAGAGGGAGTAGTGGCCAAGTATCCTGATCTATTTGAGGAGCCTACAGGGGTTGTAGAGAGGGAGGTCGTCCATGCGATAGAGATTATCCCAGGATCTAGTATTCCAAAGGGTAGGATCTATCGGATGTCTCCAGGCGAGCTTGATGAGCTTCGCCGCCAACTCAAGGAACTCATAGAGAAGGGTTGGATCCGGCCGAGTGTCTCTCCTTATGGGTCTCCAGTTCTATTCGTGCCTAAGAAGGAGGGAACTCTTAGGATGTGCATTGACTATAGGGGCCTCAATGCCATCACTGTAAAGAACATAGAGCCCCTACCGCGCATTGACAATCTGCTAGATAGAGTGCAAGGGTGCCGGTACTTCAACAAGATAGATCTGAAGTCCGGATACCATCAGATTGCCATCCGGCCCGAGGATCAACACAAAACCGCTTTTCAGATCAGGTATGGTCTGTACGAGTTTGTGGTGATGCCTTTCAGCCTTTGCAATGCTCCTGGCACCTTTCAGCACGCTATGAATCGGATATTCCATAACTACTTGGATAAGTTTGTCATCGTGTACCTCGATGACATACTTATTTTTAGTAAGACTGTCGAGGAACATGTTGCACACTTGGACAAAGTCCTCGGTCTCCTGCGACAACACAAGTTCAAGATCAACGGTGAGAAATGCCAGTTTGGCCACACCCGTGTCTTGTACTTGAGTCATGAGATCTCCGCAGAAGGGCTGAAGCCCGATGACGCGAAGGTGGCCAGCATTCGTGATTGGCCACGTCCTCAGTCTGTGACTGAGATGAGATCTTTCTTAGGAATGACATGCTTCTATAGGACTTTCGTTAAGAACTACAGCATAGTGGCCGCTCCTTTGACTGATCTGACCCGCCTTGACACCCCTTGGGAGTGGACAGATAAGTGCGAGGCTGCTTTCAGACATCTGAAGCATGCATTGACGCACTATGAAGTCTTGAAACTTCCTGATCCTGACAAGCCGTTTATAGTCACAACGGATGTCAGCCAATATGGCATTGGCGCCGTGCTTGAGCGCGATGGGCCAAAGTTGAGGCCAGTAGAGTACATGTCCAAGAAAATGTCGTCTCAAAAGTTGGCTAAGTCCACTTATGAGAAGAAACTCTATGCGGTGTACAAGGCTCTCACCCATTGGAGACACTACCTCCTTGAGCGGTTCTTCATCCTCCGGACTGATCATCAGACCCTGAGATGGATGAGAACACAGCCGGTACTCTCCGACGCTCTCAAGCGTTGGATCGAAGTCATTGAGCAATATGACTTTGATCCTCAATATCTAAAAGGGGAGTACAACAAGGTTGCTGATGCCTTGTCGCGCAGACCGGACTTCTCAGGAGCGCTGATTACTGAGTTCGATCTGACGGACGATGTGACTCAGTCTTTGGTGGAAGCCTATTGTCAAGACCAGTTTATGTCTGAGATTATACGCAGACTTGAGGCGAAGGATAAGAAGACCTCCGCCGAGTTTGAGTTGGTCAATGGCTTGCTGTTCCTAGAGAAGGCAGGGAATAAACGCTTGTGTGTTCCAAATAGTGAGTCTTTGCGTAATTTGTTTTTAGGCGAGTGTCATGATGCCACCGGCCATTTTGGGTATAAGAAGACCGCAGCCAACTTGCTGCAGCGGTTCTGGTGGCCCACGATGATGAAAGATGCACAGCTGTACGTGACAACTTGTCAAGTTTGCCAAAGAGACAAGCCCCGTACTCAGGCTCCTCTTGGGCTGCTCAAGCCCCTTCCGATTCCGGAAAGGCCGGGTGAAAGTTTGTCCATGGACTTCATGGATACGCTGGTCACCAGCAAAAGTGGGATGAGACAGATCTTTGTCATCGTGGATAGGTTTAGTAAGTTTGCTAGATTAATAGCTATGCTAGAAACAGCGAAGACCGAGTATGTGATCAGGCTATTTAAAGAGAACTGGGTTAGAGACATTGGACTGCCGAAGTCTATAGTAAGTGACAGGGACGTCAGGTTCACGAGTGAATTGTGGAAGGCCGCTGCAGCTGAACAAGGAACTCAACTGCAGATGACCTCTGGAAATCATCCAGAAGCTAATGGCCAGGCTGAACAAATGAGCTGCGTTGTGCAACACCTGTTGAGGCACTACATCAAGCCCAACCAGGTAAACTGGAACGAAAAACTTGCCCTAGTCGCCAGTCTATATAACAACGTTGTACACAGTGCTACCGGGGTGAGTCCTAATAGTCTAAAACTGACGTTCAAGCCTAGACTGCCCTTAGACTTCCTACTTCCCGACAACCAGCCAACTGCTACACCAGGCACTTTGGAGTTTGCCTACAGATATGAACAGGCTGTAGAAAACATGCAGAAGGCGCAGGCAGCAATGATAGAGTATGAGAATAGACACCACCGCCCCTCTACATTTCAGGTTGGGGACACAGTCTGGGTTAAGTCTTGGTCATCTCAGAACTCACCCTGTCTTTCACGCCTCTAAGCTCGCTGCGTTCGAGGAAACTGATCAGTTTCCCTCCCGTCGGTCAATGCTGCCCCCAACCATGGACGGAGAAGTCGACATCGATGATATCGTTGACCACAGGGAGATGCGCGTTCAGAAGCCTCCAGGAAGGGCACGTCCTCCAAAGCCAAAACTGCAGTTTCGTGTCCACTTCAGACATCACACGGATCCGAAAGAGGACCGCTGGTTTACTCGGGAGGAATTGATGCAGACCGCTCCTCAAATCGTTGCCCGCTATGAGAAGGATGTATTGAAAGGAAAGCGCCAGATGGCTCAGGATTGATCTTCCCAGAGGACTGATGAAGATATGGAGGAGGGAATGCGAGGCTACGCCCGCTTAGCCCCTACGGGGCCCTATTTGCAGCAAGGTCGGCCGCCCAGGCACGACAGGCCCTTCAGGCCTCGTTTTTCAGGGTACCCCGCATTGGGGAAAATTCAGGCAGTTGCGCAGCGCCAGTTGGTTGAATGAACCCAGGACCTGGGCCGACTGTGTGAATGTACGAAGAACAGGCCCTGGGCTGGATTCAGGTATCGGGCCGAACACAGGCCGAAAGCAGTTGGGCGCATGCAACCACTTCAGGCCCAAGGCCTGCTTTCCTCGTGACTGGGCCTCAGGCTACCGGGGCCTACTGGAAGCTTCCTGGACTGGACGCAGGCAGGCCACTTCGATATAGGGAAGGGCCTGCCTCTCATTCGACATTCGGGTGCTGGCTGCATGCTGCACGAGCGCTGGTGCGCTATCTTCTGGCTGGCTGGCACTCACACTCTCACGGGCGAGTAGGGAGGGAGCACGCAGCCATAGCCAAGCTGCGCTGCTGTATGCTGGGTGAAGCGCAGGGTGGTCCTTGGGTGCTAGTGGCATCTGTGCGGTGTGGATCGGGGTTGTGAGTGTAGCGCAAGACATACCTGGTGCTGAGGCGGGCGACATCGGTYGCCACATGCTCGTACTTCGGGAACGCTGTTGATGTCATCATTCTGCTTCGTAGTATAGGATAGATAGGATCTGCCACATGTAGTCTGGGCGCTGAGCGTCAATAGGATATCAACTCTGGTTCTTCGTTGATGATGATGGGACTACTTCAGCATTGTCAATTTTGAACTCTTGGTGTGTTCTTATTTGGTGTATCTCGTGATGCAATTCTGCTGTGGTTCGAGGTCAAGGCTATCTGGACTCATATGTATGATGCTGTATGATTGCTGAAGTTCGCTAATTCTCATCTTCCTTGCACAAGGGCAAGGGCATGTGAAAGGAATTCGCATTAGTTGTTCAGGTCGAAACAATGGTGCAGAGATTGCTAAGACTGAATGCAGAAAAGAAAAAAAAGAAAAAAAAGACTGCATGCAGAAAATATGGTCAAACATCTTTTCATCTGTTCTCAGATAAAATAGATTATGCTCAGGCGAAGGTGTTCAAACCTTTCGAAAGGATTTTGTATTTCTGGGAATAAGCATAACAAATTCATTTTAATGGTTAAATGAATAGAAATTTTGTGTATTTTGACAGGGTAGTTATGAAAAGGGGAAAAAATATTCGAAATGCCCCTGAAGTTTGCGTTTATTTGCGGCGTGCCCCTCTGACGGCCGACTTACCTTGTCGCGCCCCTCTGACGACGAATGATGTTTCCAGAAAAACCCTGGCGTCGTTTGGGCCTGAAAAATGTTTCCTATGCCCGTACCGGTACCAGTACCAAAGTTTCAGTATGCCCCTACCGGATGGCCATTGAGAACCATCACAAAAGTTTTCCATATGCCCTTATTGATACCGTCCATCTTTCCAGCGAGCCCCTGTGGCCGTTGTTGACACTCGCAGTCTTTCCCCTGGCCCAGGGAGAGATGCTACCGGGGCATATCTGAAATTTGGCAACGAGCATGGACACACACACACACACACACACACACACACACACACACGCGCGCGCGCGCGCGCGTGCGCGTGCACACAACACACATATACACACACGCGCACACACACACACACACACACACATCTACAGACCGTTTTTCCGTGGCGGCGCGTGGAATGCCTATCACATTGAATTCAAATTCCTGCCACCACTGCTGCAAGGGCATCACAGAAAGGACCGACCGATGAAACGCCACCAGCGGTCCAGTAAGGGTATATCGGAAAGTTACGCCCCATGCTGACAGGGGCCTGCAGAAAATTTCAGAGGCCCGAGGGGCACCACAGGGTAAGTCGGCCTTTACAGGGGCACGCCGCAAATAAACGCAAATTTTGGGGGCATTTCGAAAATTTTCCCCATGAAAAGAGATCACTGTGACAAGTTTTTCCAAAACATTGTACATGCTACGTCCTCGTAGGGTGCTTTGACCTTTTTGCAGTGCTTCGGGCCTTTGAAATCGTGCCTGGCTGCGTGTGTTTAGAGATTTTTCACCACAAAGGAGCGAAGCCGGTACCATTTATTAACACGTTATAAACTTGATGATTTCCACCAAGAATTTGATTTCCTGCCTGTGCTAATTCCATGTGAATTCGTACAGAGAAGCATGTGCCCATTACTCCAGCAATTGCACCAAAGATTAGATATAAAGTACCTATATCCTTGTGGTTTGTGGGGGTGATACTCCCCACCAATAGAATGGAGTCTTAAAAAAAAAAAAAAAAAAAAAAAAAAAGGCAAGAGCAAGGGCAAGGGCAAGAGCAAGGGCAAGGCAAGGCATGGGTGCCAGCACTGTTGCTCCAGTAGTCAGTACTAGTCACTGAATTTGAAAAATGATGATTGTTGATTGTTCTTTTTTTTTTTTTTTTTTTTTTTGGGTGGGGAGTAATGGAAATTGAATTGGTTGGGCTTAATAGAATTAGCGGCTATTAGCCATTTTTCTGAATAGAAAAAACTTAAAAAAAGATAAGATACACTCACCGCTTCTCACATTTAGCGAGCAGTGGAGGGAGGCCCATGGAACGACAGGCAGTCAGTGCAAAGTGGAAAATGGGAGAAAAAAGATAAGATACACTCACCACTTCTCCCACATTTGACGAGCAGTGGAGTGAGGCCCATGGAATGACAGGCAGTCAGTGCGAAGTGGAAAATGCGAGAAATGAGACGATGGATGCGCTTGGCAGATAAAAGTTGATACTCGAAAGAAGCTAGATACGAAAGCTCAGTACGTACAAGTTCGAACTCCAATGGAACCAGATGAGTAAAAGATACAACAGAAACTCCAGCAAGACAGGAGAAGACTTGCAATACACAAACAAAGGCGGAAAACCCAAAACGACGAAGAAATCTAGGCGAAGGTGGTGGGCCTAACGGCTCACTACACATGCACACAATAAGAGATCATCACAAGCAGGGCAGGCAAGGCATAACTTCACACGAAGTCATATATATTATGGACCGGCTTGGTTGCACCGATAGCCAGTGCAGAGAAGCGTGTTCCGCTGAAGTTGGTCCCCTCAACTTACTCGTGGCAGACAGAAAGCAGACCGACGCAAAGAACACATAAGCCTCCTTACCAGCAGGCACGCTATAGTACCACAATATATTGTTGTATCACCCCGCGGCAACGGCTTGTCAGCACGTTCTGTCCTCTTCCATTGCGCCATGCAAACATCGAACCCCAGAGGCCATTATCAGCACCACTTGCTGCGCATTAAGGTCACGAAAATGGATCGGACTTGCGATGGGCGGTTCCTTCTTAGCAAGGAACCATCCTTATTGCCACATTCACCAGAATTGCCACCTCTGGGAACACAGATATGCTTCACAAGAAGGCAACCAATCAGAACCATAACAGAGTCGCTCGCATCCACCCCTCTGATGACGAAGACTGATGGGTATATAGGATGGTTCCTTCTTAGTACGTCACAGCTGCTTCGGTGGTCGATCGACCGACCCGGTCTTCAAGTGCTTGGAAGGGGGATCATATCTTGCCCCTTCGCCCTCCAATCTCACAGAGCAGGTGCCCACTCGCACGATTTCCAGTTATTCTTCATGGATGCATGTGCGTATGCGATGGATGATGAGAGTATGGATATATATGTCTGTGATCGATGGCTCGTTAAATTGAGAGTTAAAAGCACATTCATTGTAACGTCCCTTTCGTCTAGGGGTATAGGACATCGCTTTTTCGTGGCGAAGACACGGGTTCGAATCCCGTGAGGGGACATCGCTGCTTTGGTGGCTGACCAACTGACCCGCTCGTTCTTCCATGCTTCGAAGGGGGATCATATCATCATGCCCCTTCTCCCTCTGATCTCACAAACACAGGTATGCAGATCTCCAGTCGTTCTTGGTGGGATAAATGTGTGTATCAGATGGATGATTCCGGAGCCATTCAGGTCATGAAATGTCGACGTGAGGTAATGATCATGGGGACAATACACCTGAGATGCAAGCACCTTCTTCATGACTGTAACTGCATCCCATCCACCATTCCTTGCAACGCGTCCGCAGAGGCGGGCCCTTCTCCTTGCGATCTTATGAGCCTCCTTCCCTTGCTGTAGACAACTTCACTGTAGGTCACATGCATCGCATCTGTTGCCATTTTGTACTCGTTGACCGCCTGCTCGATCATGCTGCCATTATGCTTAAGTCGGTAGAGATCGCGCACCATCAGGGAGATTTCGTTGGGCGACACAACTCCCGCCTTGTGCTCTTCCATGGCTTGCTTCAAGACGGTGAGATTTTTCTCGTACTCCTTCTTCGCCTTCTTCAGGCCTTGCGCCGTGGCATCGGTGCTGCCGCTTTGAGCCTCTTTCACCTTGATAAGATAGTCGAGGTAGTCTTTGTAAGCATCGTTATAGGGGCTGATGGCATTCTCAGAGCAGAAGTGCGCAAATTTCGCAACGATCCCATTGATGGACTGCTGCTCTTGCTCTAGCTCAACGATCCTCTGGCGGAGGGTGTTCAAATGCCCCTCCAGGGCTTCCCTCAACTCCTCCTTTGTCTTGATCTTCCCGTCGATGGTAGTATTCTTGACCTTGTGGACAGTTTGCCTGGCCTCCGTGAACTGGTGCGCATGGGTCTTCCAGTTGCAACCGCACACCTTGCAGGCTCCGGAGATCTTGTGGAAGGCCGTGCACAACCTCAGGCCTACAGGAGCTTTCTGCGAGAGATAGTCCCACAGGGAGACGCCGCTCATCGTAGCCAGCCAGCACGGGCTGCAACAAACGGCATAGGTTATAAAGTTCGGCTTCCACTTGGTATCTTCGGCCACCTCCCCACCACCCTTTCCTGGGAGAGCTGCTGCAGGATTGGGCGGCCTGGCGATGGCATTGCGACACTGGGGAGACGTGCAGACGGTTCGTGGGGCCGGCAGCTTCGCGTACTCCACCTTGACCACGGGAATGAACAAATCTTGCTGCAGATCCAGGATATCCTGCGAGTTGGACTCAAACTTGGTCCTTTCCACCTCCAGCCGGGTCAGGCTCTCCTGAATGACCTGGGTGATGTCTCCTATGGGTTGCGAGAGGAGGGCGATCAGTCTGCGGGCATCGTTGACAGAGATGGTGTCTTTAACTGCGTGCGGTTTGCGGGTCGCAACGTGATCCATCAGCCTCTTGCACTCGCTCACGGACGTGTTCCAGCTGACGTTGAAGTTCTTCTTGTCGTCGTCCGTGAAGTTGATACCGTTCCGGAGAGCGACCATGAAACGGAACGACTCGTTGTCCAGGCAGAAGGTGCTGCTGTGATTGAAGGGTATGTCCACATGGGGAGGCTCCACCTTGATGTCATTCAGGAGCTTCTTGAGAGCTGGAAGCGTGTCGCCGGGCCTGTAGAAAGTTGAGCGAGCATTGGTGAACAGGAACACAATGTTCTGGCTGGCATTCTTGTGCAGATGGAACATCAGCTGCTGAATGCAGTACCGGAAGAAGACCGACAGACGGGCGTTGTTCGGCTTCAGCAAGATGCAGATGCCGTGGATGTCGCGATGGAATCCCAGGAACGCGAGGATGTTGTCAAAGTTCTTCTTGTCCTGATCAATGCCCCGAGTGTCGCCGATTCCGGGCGTGTCGATCAGCCGCACTATCTTGTCCGCAAACGGGAACACGTAGGCTTTGCAGGCCTGTGTGGCAGATGCGCCAGCTTGCAGGGTCTCATTCGCCTTTGCTTCGTCCGTCAAACTCGCTGCTCCGCTCTCTTTGCTACTGGCAGTGCTGGTTCCTCCTTCTCCCCCCGCTAGGCCATCCCCTTCTCGGTTGTCTGCCCCCCCAAAGTTAGGTTCCACGTTCACCGTTCGTTCCTCGTAGTTTTCATCAATGAGGGTGAAGGAAGTAGGGATAAGAATCACCAGTTCGTCTTTCTCCGCCTCTTGCAGACTGCCGTAGGAGAGATAATTGGCAAACGCGTTGATGAAGGTCGATTTCCCTACTCCCGTCTCTCCTAGCAACAAGATGTTGATCTCCTCCAGCTCGCCTGCCATTGCCCTCATCATCTTCGGCAGGTCGTCCTCCGGAGTGAAGGCCAGGAAGGTGCGCGTTCTGCCACCACCACCGCCGACAGAGTGCTTCGGATTGTTGCACTTAAAACGAAACTTGTCAACGGGTGCACGACCACACCGGCAGTAGTAATAGTTGTCCCGTCCGTACAAAATGAACACCCGGCAGGCGATGCATTGCCACTGCCGCGGCTCCGCAGGGCAGGAAGCATGCAGAGCACCCGGACATTGGCACTTGACATCCACACTGAAGTGAGGAATGGGAAAACCCTTCTCGTGGCGGCCTTCAAACAGTGTCACGAGGTTCTGAGAGATGAACCAGCTGTAATCATCCAGGAGGTCAACAGACACCCTCTTCCCTCCTGCATACCTGTGAATGGCTGACCGCGGGATGTCCATGGGGAGGACCTCGTACTCGACGAGGTAAAACATGTTACGACATTCAGATTGGTTGCCCTTGTCAGCAGCAGCTACTTCGTCACTATCTGCTTCACCTGCTGCTGCTGGTGCTGCAGATGCGATGAGTGAATTGTTGTGGTCGGTCACAATCTTTTCGAAGAGCTGGCGGTTCTTCCGGCATCGCTCATCGCTCCTGCTCACCTCCACATCGGTGAAGAACAACACATCCGCCATCTCGACAGTACTCAGCTCCTGCATCAGTTTTGCACTCACGTCTTCGTTGTTCCCTCCCCCGACCCACAAGTACCGCACTCCTTTGCTTCCTAGTTCCTTGACCCATGCCATCTTCTCCCTCTCCTCCATCTCGCTCCTGTACTGCTCCAACTTCTCCATGTTGCGGTCTATGAACTTCCGAATGCTCTCCGGCGACAAGTCCTTGTTGCTTCTCAGCTCCCCCAAAAGATCGATCACCGCTTTACCATCATCCTTCCCAGATCGCACCGCGACCAACGACTTCCCGAGGCGATGCCGCATCCCCCTTTCCGCAATGTCCACCAGTCTCTTGCGGTCACGCACACCAAGCGTGTCCAGCATCGGCAGGTCTGATGCCGATTCCAGAAAGTGGACCAGCCGCTGCTTAGCCAGCAACAGCTCGTCAAAAAAGGCAGTTATCGAGGAAACGGATTTGTCTTCCAGAGGCCTGAACACCTTGGGAGAATCTGGGGCCATTCCAAGTCGATCAAACATGTCAGACAAGGGAGAGAGGATGTAGATGATCGGCTGACCTCGTCCTTCATTCAACTTCAACACAACTTCGCGAGTCCGTTGGACGAGCTCGCAAGCTTCCAATAGGGTGTAAGATTCACCCCTCGTCACTGAATCCGTGTACACATCGCCATACACCTTGAAACCTGACCTGGTCAGGACTCCCCCGGCGCCCTCCTGCGGTGCCGACTGAGTGTTGTCTGAGGCGCCGCCCATTGCGTCTCCGGATGTTGGTCGTGTCTTCTGGTCCAGCGACATCATGGTGTTATGGAACTGCTGCTCAATCTGCCCACGAATCCAACTCTTCGTGGCTTCGTCCCGATGACGTTCGCCAAACGACATGAAGGTGTTCGCCCCCCAAATTATACCGCTGACAAAGTGGGTCGCGTCTGTCGATTTCAGGATGCGTGCCGATACATACTTCCTCAACCGCTTGTGGTCCATGTCCACGGTTTGACGTTTCGTGCGAACATGGAGGATAATAGAAGCACAACCCTCATCGGCTAGGAACTTCCCATACTCTGCAAGTCTGACCAGGCCACCAAGGATGCTAAGCTGCAGCTCTGGCTGAACGTACAGCTTCTTGAAGCGTCCCGTGTACGACTCCTCGAAGGAGAGCTGCAGATGTGTAACAGGGCAATCTTCCAATTTCACATATTTGGGCTTCAGCATCTCAAACAGGGTCTCGCCAGCAAACCAGTCGTCGCATGCATTGTACAGAGCACCCAGAACTGCAGTTCGCCCCAATGCTACACGCTCGATACACCTCCCCCCCCCCCCGGTCTGTGGTGAAGACGAAGACATCTCAATGCTTGCAATCTATTGCCAGCGAACAGGATTGACACACACACACTAAGGCAGTTAATTGGCCAGGAAGATGTTTACAATCTCTACTGCAGGGTGAATCAATCAAACCAACCAACCAACCAACCAACCAACCAACCAGGCAGGTCAGACCAGGTAAGACATCAGCCAAGTTCGATAGATCGATTGAACCGATCCCTTCATCAGTCAAGGGATCAACAACTACCAATGGGGTTAGCTCAGTCGGTACGCCCACAAACTGTTGATATGCAGACCTGAGTTCGAATCCAAGACGGAACCAGAATTGAAAATTCCTGAATTACCTGGGGCCGGTCGCGCTTTTGACAAAAGGAAGAGAAAAAAGAGATCAACAAACAAGGGTAAGATCTCTAATCGTATTCAATCGAGCGATCAATCATCAAGAGTGAGAACTATAATCCTATTCAACCCAAAGAATGCCAAACTTAGAAATCAAGAGAAGAGAAAAAGAAAGAAAAAGAAAGAAAAAAAGAACAAAACCTGGCGGGAACTATACTAAGTCGTATTCTTAGGATGCAGGGAGAGGTGTTCGAAAGGGCGGGCACGCTTGCACACTCTGAATACTTCCTTACTATGAGAAACTGCGCTAAGTCTTTTCTCTAGGAGGCAGGGGGAGGTTCCTCAGGAAGGGCAATTGCGCACTAGTAGTACTTCCCTACATGTATCCGGTTATACGACTGGCTGGACTTGCGTTAGACAAAGTCATTGTGTGCGTATGCTCGAAGACGTGTGAAAAGGAGCCACAATCGACATCACAGTCACATGTGATTCCGCATCATATCATAACGCGGAGAAGAGGAGTTCGCTCAACTGTGCTGATCATTCCGAACCTGATGTCTTTCAGCATCGACATTGACGTATCATTAATTAGTAATTACTGAATTAATGAATGATAACAGTTCCGCAATAATGTAAAATAATTTAAATAATGTAACCAGTATTATTGCACTCCACCCCAAATTTTAATGTGACTAACATCACCTGCTGCCTGAGATGACCTGCAATGCCCAAAGGGCTCGCTCACTTCAAAAGGAGCAAGCGAAGGAGAACATCCGCAAAAACAACTTCGGTGGAGTGGCACTGTGCCCAATGGGCGCTGAAGCGCCAGCGCGGCGTTTTTGTTTTCTTTTTACTCCTGTTGTCAGCCTTTGTGGTCCGGGTAGCCCTGAGGCCCCGAAGATTTCCAACTTTGATTTTGCGTCACAGCCTCAAAGGTAGTGGTGGTGAAAAAAAAAGAAACATGCCATGAGTCCTAGCAATCAAAACGCCATAGCCAGCCATCATGGTCAAGCACACAACCACGCCACACATGAGCCCGTAGAATTCTCGAAGAGTGACGAAGACAACATGCGTCTTCTAATTGAAAAAGAAACCTTGTCAGTGATTGCCCATGACACGACCTTGAAAACGACGAAAAAAGCATCCATGCAAGACACACACACACCTGGTTAACCTACCGGCATGTTTCCCAGCCATTTTGCAGAAATGCACCATGCATGAAGGGATGCTAGGTGGTCAGTAGTCGTCGGGCGCCCTGCAGCAGGGCTGAAGACGCCTTCCTTCTCCCAATATCATTCTCTTTTCCTTTGCCACCTGCGCAGTCAATCCCCTGGTTTCCAGGGCAATCTATGCTGGCAGGTGGATGGTACGCTTGAACTGTTCATCTACAAAGGGACGCTGGACCCATTTTCCAGCAGGTGTAGCTCCCCACCAATAGACTGGAGCGACCAGGAAGCCAGCTAGGAGGGGATGCTCTTACCGCCTCTCCTAGCTGAGAAACTGGCTCTGTTAAAAAAAAAAAAAAAAAAAAAAAAAAACATGCTCGCGCATCGGGCGGGATGCACCACCCGCGGTGCCGTTTTGTCTGAAATCCATCCAGGCAAATCAGGCCTCTCATACAACCCGTTTCGCCTAGATGCACTTGGGCGAAAGGACACCCTGGTGCATCCCGCCCGACGTGCCAGCATGCACAGCGCGTTTCTGCAAAATGGCTGTTTTTTTTTTGTTTTTTTTTTTAATGGCATGTAAAATACTGAAATCATGATGGTGGCGGCATTTTCTTTCTTTTTCTAATGACCTGCAAAATTGCAGACTGAGAAATCTTATGTTTTCTGAGCATCACTGCATGCTAGACTGATTCATTGCTGTTGTTAATTATCCCTAATCTATCTACGAATACCTACAGGAAAAAGCGGTCCCCGTGAGACGGTCCCTTTGGGCCCAGCAAAAATAAGGCCCGCACATCATTTGGACGGCACAGGAGGTGCCCCGTGAAAGTGGCCGCAGGAAGTTTTTTGCCCGGCGGCCACGGGGTCGAGGCTGTCTCCCATTGCGTTTCGTGCGGAAATGCTGCCAAAAAATGTAACGATAGGCGCGGGTTCGAGTCGGGGAGAGGCCAGTCCGCTTTTATGGTACTTAGTCTGGCGGGCAGTTTTTTGCATTTTGCCGTTGATTGCAGAAAGTGCAAGGAACATGAATATGGACGAAGCACAGAAATCCAGAATGCAAAATCACACTGAAGTCCAAGTAGTCCAAGCCAAAGCAGATAGCACAATGGAACCGAGTAACCATCCAATTGAGAATGATACAGAAGAATCGTGAGTCAATGTCCATGCCCAACAGGGCAACACCAACAGCATAACCCAAATGTAGCTCTCTCTTGTGAATGGCGCCAGGCGCCCTATCTACTCTACAGCCTATCCTACAACTACAGCAATGAAAGCAACCAGACAACTTGACTACCCGCGAGTGATGATGTCAACACCAATACCGACCTCCACCTTCAGCAGGTACGTGTCCTCTTCCCCACACTCTCCCTTGTTACCCACATAACGCCCTTCACCTCCGAAGACCACCTTCGCCCTTCACCCTCACTGCACCCTCATGCGGCCGGCTATGGCCGCCAGTGCCCTGGTGCGCAGGCAGCGCCCTACCGCCTAGCGCTGGCCTGCCTCGCACCTCTCTTAGCGCAGTGCAGCAGCAGCAGCAGCTCGCATTTGCGCAGCGTGCCGGCATTGCCCGCAATGGCCAAGATCCCTGCCCACACGCCCTGCTTGCCTATATGCCAGTGCAGCGTGTGGGCGGCCTCCCTTCAGCCTGTGACCGGGACCCAGAGGCTGGACTCAGCCCGATACAGTTGGGCCCCGGAGCAATGCAGTTGCGCCTCTTTCTTCAGGGCCTGCGGCCAGATTCAGACAGTGGGCCGATTTCCCTTTGGCATTTTCGGCCTCTATACCCAGCATGCATTGTCGGCCTCACATTCGAGTGCCCAGGGCCTATCTAACTCAGAGGCCCTGGGCATTTCAGCATTTGCTGAGATCCGGGACTCGGTGCACTCCAACCAACTGGCGTGCTGCAACTGTATGGACCCCACTTCGTGAAATGTTGGCACAGAGGGCTCTTGTTGATTTGCTGGCCCGCCTTCACTTAGGGCGGGCACGAGGCTTGCTGGGGCCTTAGCCCAGAACATGTACACCATGTGTTACATACTCCGATGAGTATGGGCAGAACCAAGGATCAACCAATGTAGGATGAGCATATATGCAACGGAAGTCTGATGAACGGACTGACTCACATAGACTGACTCACATAGCATCACTCCACACACACATACACAGATGAATGGGGGAGGAGAGACGAAGAGGTGGGGGGGAGGTAGACAGCACCGAAAGTCACCGAGATAGAATCTGATAGGTCACCGATATGGTAGTCCAAAATGTCATCCAACAAGATCAMAATGTCGAGGACCATAGGTCACCAATGTCGGGGATACAGAGTCCAAATGTAACCGGTGTCTGAACTGTGATGTCGCCAAGTATCAACCCCAACGATCTCCAAGTCTCCAATTCGGTAAGTACCACAGTCTCATACCACCAAAGTCCAACACTGATCTCTGTCCAACTAGTATAAGTCTCCAATCTGAAGAAGAAGAAGAAGAAGAAGAAGAAGGAGAAGAAGAAGAAGAAGAAGAAGAAGAAGAAGGAGAAGAAGAAGAAGAAGAAGAAGAAGAAGAAGGAGCCGAGGAGGAGGAGAGAGAGAGAGGGGACTGGCGATGGGAGGGAGGAGAGAAGCCTCCAACTCCCAATACCTCAGGCGGGTATGGCCGCCGGTAACCCAGTCGCCGCTGCTGCTGCTGCGCTAATCTGCGCTGCGCTGTTCCTCGCTGCTCCTGCGCTCATCTTAGCGCCAGCGCTGTATCGCGCTGTACCATACCGTACTGGTAGAATGCCGGTAGGTCGATGCTGGACTGAGGCTGGACCGGTTCTATATACCGGTGGGGCAGAGGCCGGCCTCAATGCTGCGAGGCCTGGCCGTGCCCTGAACCGTCCAGATGGACGGTTCAGCCCCAACCGGCGGGCGGCAGCCTCAAGAGCGCCGCCAGGCCCAAACGGTAATGTCGTTTGGGCCTGCCCGTCGGGTCTGGTCCAAGGTGAGGCCTTTATGGCCTGTAGTACCCCCAAGGTCGGGCCTTTAGGCCCTGATGTGTCCCTCTAGCCCTAAGTCGAGTCCGGTAGGACCCGTGTGGCGTCGAAGATGTAACACACTCCCCCTCTTAAAAGACCGAGCTACTTGCGAGGGCGGAGTTGTCTGTCCGATACCGGGATGGATCGGGTGGGACGAGCTGCATCCTTAGCAAGGCGTCGCTTCTCGTAGTCGGCGAAGATAAGGGGTGCAGAAGTCTGCAAATCTGTACTGGAGATCCACCGAGTGTCGTCAGGCGCACATTGCTTGAATGTGACTTTGTACTGTATTGGCTTGTTGCCATACTTGCGGTGCGTGATGACTCGGACCACTTCCTGATGTCCGTCCATGGAGGGCGGATCCTGTGATCGACGTCCGGGAAACTCGTCATCTGAAGGTGGTGTGTAGATGGCCAGCTTCGATGCGTGGAAGACCCGATGCACTGTCAGGTGCGGTGGAATGTTGATCACGAAGGAAGGACCTGTGGGATCGTCTCCAACGGCAGAAGTGACTTCCCATGGTCCGAACCATTTCGGAAGGAGTTTGCACGAAACATCCTGCTCGAGCGCAAATTCCTCGGAGAGGACCCAAACAAGGTCTCCCTCGCGGAAAGGACATGGAAGTCGACGTCGGTTAGCCTGCTGCTGCATGCGGATCTGAGCCTTTTGCATATTTGCGCGAGCTTTGATCCGTGCTTTCTCTCCACCATGATGTAACTCGAATGGTGTGACGCAGATCGCCGGGTGCACCGAAGTGTTATAGGCGAACTCGATGTCGGGAAGCCGGTCAACCCAATCTTTCTGGTCGGGACGGATGAGCGTACGCAACATCATCTGAGTGGTCTGGCGCGCTCGTTCCATCTGGCCATCCGTCTGCGGGTGCCGAGCCGAGCTCGACTTCATTGTCGTACCGGACTCAGTCATGAGGGAAGTCCAAAAAGTCGACATGAAGCGAGTATCTCGGTCGCTCACTATATCTTCCGGAACACCTTGGTTGGTAATCCAACCGGTGTGCAAGAGTCGTGCGAGCTCAGGTGCTGCAGCATGATACTTGCAAGGAAGGAAGCGAGCATACTTGCTCAAACGGTCAACGACCGTGAGAATACCGTCATGGCCGTGGCGATCGCGGGGAAACGGGCCTGTCACGTCCATAGCAATGGAGAGGCGTGGTGCCCGAGGAATCGGCAACGGTTTCAGTTCGCCGAAGGGGACTCGAGATCGACCCTTGTTTCGGTGGCAAACTGCTCAGTGTACCTCGTGACGTCATGGAGGACGTCGGGCCAGTGAAAACGCTGGCGGAGGCGTGCTAGTGTGCGGTTCACGCCAAGGTGTGCCGAAAGTCGTGCGTCGTGGAATTCGCCGGGAAGACGAGTCCGTAAGATGCGACCTTGGGGCACAACTAACAAGTCCTTTCCTCTCGTGTGAAGGAGAAGGAACCCGTCGGAAATCCGATAGTGGCTAGCCGGCGGGTGATCCGATGAAAGGTCCGCATAAAGCTGAGAGTAAGTCGGATCGGACTTGTAGCCTTTGACGAAATGCGGCCGCAGATCGTCATCGAGGTCGAATGCCATGGTCACCATGGCACAAAAGTCGGGCCGTCGTGAGAGGGCGTCCGCAGCTCGATTGGCGGGACCGGGAATGTGGCACGGGTCAAAATCGAACTGGTCGATGTA